GGATTGAAGCCATGGGAGTGGGCTGGATGGGGTGGGGCTCCCTCGGTGCTGTCTAATTTCTGAGGCCTTTTCTGTTAGTCTCTTAGCTGTGTCTCACACTATGCCTGACTGATTGGTATAAATGCAAATTTTTTTCCTAGGAAGATGCATAAGTCACGTTTTTTGGCCCCTATGATTTTGGAGGGTGACTGCCACCAGGGAGTCTATCTGGTTCTTTAAGGTAAGAATGGAGTCAGCTATTTCTTTGAGGCTGTCAGAAAGATCTCAGGAGAGGGAATGATAGTAGATCAGGGAGGTAGATAGACCTGCTATGCCGGTCCCTGCAGCAGTGGTAATACCCAGACCAACAAGTAGGGGTATTAGTTGCATAGCTCAATGTTGTTAGACCTGGGCTCTACCAGCAACAGGCAGACTCTAATTTCCCAGGGCAATGTCTATTTTGGGGCTGAGGTATGTCAGTGTGCAGGTGCTGGTCCAGTTAGTGGAGAGGCACAAGTAGGTAGAAGTCCCACAAAGGAAAGAGACATTGGCTGGGTAAGCAGCATTAGCTGTGAATGTTAAAGAGGTGTTTGAGTTTTTGTTTTCTTTTTCCCAGATACCCAGAGTATCTGACAAGGCAGTGAGTGCTTTTCAGGGGCTGGAAGCCCCCAGCAAGGAATTTGACTGGATCCTACTGTTCTGTTGTCCCATTCTAGGAAGAATCTTTTGGTGTCTATTAGGAGGCATTATGAGGAGTGGTTAAAGGTAGGCAAGAGGAGTCAGTCTGAGCAAGTGGGAGATTGATAACAAGGGGTCCATGAATGGGTGTATGGCCATGGATGGAAGGTGGCAGCTGTCGCTGACTGTCTATTGAGCAGTGATGTTGTTATAACCTTGGGAGGGCTGGAAAAGCAGGCAAGCTGAGTGAATAAGGCATCCTGAGTAACCTGGTAACTGGCACGGTCAGCTGAAGCCAATAATAGTAGTGTATAGTCACATTGAAGAGGAGGTGGATGTCCTAGTGGTACACTGGAGGACAGAGTATACTGAAAGCAAACAGGGGCTTGGAATACCAGAGTAGTATCAGTGATTATGGGGCCATGTATGGGCTTTGTTGGGCTCTCACATGCCGAGGTGTTAGCGATATAGGGCTGGAGGAGTTGGGAAGCATGTCCCGCCTGAAGCATTTTTGTCTTGTCAGTGATGGGAAAACTGGCTAAGGATTTTTTGTTGAGGAGTTGGAATGGGCCCTTTATTTCATATTTGGGTGGTATGTAAGGTTAGTAAGGACCCAGACCTGAGGAGGGATCAAAAAGTAGCCTCATAAGTGGCTGTAGACATGAAGATACTGAGCCAGCAATTTTTAGCTAAGGTAGGATTGGACTAGTTTAGCAGGAAGTGAGTTAACTGCAGGGTTCTATAGAGATAATTATGGACCATTGGGAGAAGTAGCAGGGGTACAACTGTGGGCATGGTGAAAGAAATGGGAGGGCTAGCCACACAAAGGAGTGTAGGGTGGGGGAACCTACTTAGGACAAGCTTGAGCATGAGCATGAGAAATGATTCCATCCTTCAGGCAAAAGACAATTGAGTTGGAGTCCCAGAAGAATTAAGAGTAAAACCCACAGGAAAATGTATAATAGAAATACAGAGTATTTTGGACTCCCTATATCAATCATGGACACCTCAGGAACTCTCCGGGATTCAGGAGAGTCTGGCAGAGGTGGGGGAGATTGTTTTCAATTTCCACAAAGAGAGGTACAGCTTTCCCTGAGAATGATGTATCCACTGGGGAGGGTCTCCTAGATGGACAGATGTTGGAGTGCTGTAGATGACCAGGAAGGGTCCTGTCCATTTGGGCTTTAGATACTAGAGGTTTAAATCTTTAATTAAACCCCATTTGCTAGCCAGGCCATCTTTGTAAGGCTGGGTGTTAGGAAAATGGAGGAGAAGCTTAGCAGGGAATCATATCTCTTTTCAGGCTTGTTGTAGGACAGGAGGTAGTCTCTGCTGAGGTTAGCCTCTGTGCTGAGATGTGGCCTGAGTAGAAATGTGTGGCCATAAAATAGGTCAAATGGACTATATCCCATAGGTTCCTGGGGAGTGACATAGATGGGAAGGAGAGAAATTGGGAGTAGGGAAAGCCGGTCCTCATGGAGCTAGAGTGTGAGCTTAGTAAGGTGAGCCTTGAAAAGGCCATTAGCCCTTTCTACCTTTCCAGACTATTGAGGCTGATAGGGGGTGTGGAGGTTCCATTGTAAATCAAGTGACTTTGACACCTCCTGGGTAATTTGACTAATGAAAGCTGGACCACTGTCTGATTGAATGGAGGGGGGAAAACCCAACCAGGGGCTAATGTCAGCTAGAAGGGAGTTGACTACTGCTAAGGGCTTTTCTGAGCTGGTGGGAAAGGCCTCTACCCACCGTGTGAAGGTATCAACCCAGACCAGGAGGTACCTTAGCTTATGGCATATGGGTGAAATCAATTTGCCAATCCTAAGTTGGACAAAAGCCTCATGCTTGATGGGTAGGAAAAGGAGGGGACTTTAGGAAGCCCTGAGGTGTGATCACAAGGCAAACAGCATTGAGTGGTAATGATTTTTTTTAATTTTTTATTTTTTTTACTATTTTATTATTTTTTTTTTAATTTTTATTTTTTAGGTCCAAGTCTTTATAGAGTACCTAGCTCCACTGGGCCAGCTGGTCAAATAAAATCTTGGCTTTCTTCCATATCTTTTGAGATCCAGTACAAATTTCCTACAAAAGCTATACTTATAAAAATCGTATTGGTTAATCATAATTTTGTCCCATATTGTACCTACCTTGTTATTACTCTATAAAATTTCCCTTATAAAGTGCGGTCCCTGGCAACCCATTTGGGTCCCCTCCTGTCTCTTGGGAGCAAAAATATCTCTCTCAATAAATATTTCCTCTTTTTTTTTTTTTTTTTTTTTTTTTTTGCAACGGGGGTCTCACTATGCAGCCCAGACAAGTCTTGAGCTCCTGATGATCCTCCTGCCTCAGCTTTCTGAGTACTAGGATTACAGGTGTGTACCACCACACTCAGCATATGTCCTACTCTTAATCTCTGTTTTTCTTTAAAATTCATTCTTCAATTTTGGGGACCACGAACTCAGCGTATCTGATATCTAGCAGGTTGGGAGTTAAATTATTTCCCCTATATAATTTAGAAGTTCTATATTAGTATTACCAATACTCCATAAGCGATTAAAATGCTTGTATATAGAGCTGAGCAGGAATTTGATTCAAAATGTTAAGGTAATAAAGGAGACAAAAGATGAAGGCAGGGCCGGGGATTCAGCTCAGGGGTTCCGCTGCCTACCTCACAAGCACAAGGTCCCAAGTTCAGTTCGATCCCCAGTATCAAAAAAAAAACAAAACAAAAAAAGATGAAGGCAGAGATGCCAAGCTTTATTCTGTTTTTAGCTACTCATTGAGCATCTGCAGGTTCAGCCTCTAGGTTCCTGTTATACTAGGAGACACGTCACCTTTTAAAAGTCCTATGTTTTTCTATCTTTTTTCCTCACGATCTTGCCAACCACAATGAACTAAAATCTATTATTAGTGTACCGGAAATGTAGGGAGAAGATGGAATAATTGAGGAAAGTTTAATAAAGGGACTATTTTTTAAAGAGTGGAGAGTGTTGAAGGAAATCTCTGGGAGCCATTACTAGCCTCAGGCCTGAAGGGCAAGGGCAGCTAAAGTTAAGGCAGCAGAGAACTGAGGAGTGGACACTAAAAGAGTAGGCTGCTGGGAGTGAAGGTGAAATACTGATTAATATCTTGACCCCTGACCTGCAAGTGCCTCCCACTTGGCAAAACCAACTGAAAGTCAAAGGACAGTTGATGCAAAGATGAGTCCCAATTCACAGAACAGGGTGGAGAGAGGATCTGAAGAGACAGAGGAAAAACCAGCAGGAAATGCCTGACTATTCCCTCACCTAGCACTCTAGTACAAATCTTGCCCTTTTTTCCCTAGCCTGGGGTCATGGGCTTTCTGCCTGTCCCCTTTATCCATTTAATCCACTACTTTGGTGACCAGATCTGTTTTCAAGAGACTATATTCATTTGGTCTGATATTGGGCTATATAGACCCGGGTCAATGTATTAGCTCTTCAGTGTCAAGATCCTTCTCTTAAAGACTTCATTTATAAAATGTCCAGCGGACTCAGGGATGTCCAAAGACCTTTGCAGACTATGATGTGCTGATGCTGGACACAATTTAAAAAATCAAGAATCGACTTCAAAACGCAAACGATTGGCTGGAAATGAACTACCTCCTTGACCCCTTACAGAGTACCACGTTGATAGAGGATTGCTTCAAACCCCGCCATCTCCAAAGGTCGTTAGCTAAAGAAGCCGGGCAGGTGGTTCACCGAGCCTTCCACTACTCGGCCACATGCTGAGTAGAGGAAGTTCCTCAGCCCAGGCTCCAAGGCTGGACGTCTCTGGCGGTCTTCGACTCCCGCCCCGCCCGGAAGGGGTGGGGGTGGGGGTGGGGCAGAGGAGAGCGCAGGCGCAGTGTCCTCGCCACTGGCGCCCCTCTTGCTGCTTACGGCTCCCGGCAGCCTCAGCAGAGCGCTCGGCGGCTGCAGCTGGCTAGGAGGCTGGACTAAGTGCCCCGCATGCAGCAGACCCTCTAGAGCCCGGGGCGCGCCTTCCTCGCAGCAACGCACAGGTAATCGAGCCCCTGCGGCCGGCTGGGACCTGTACCCTTCCTGCCGGGCAGCCCCGCCGGGAAAGGACGGGCGCGCACCCCGGACTCACTACTTGCTTTTAAAAAGCCTTAACAACTAAGAGGCAGAGCCACCTTTTGGGGGTAAGAATTGGGCTGCGGGGTGAAGCGTCCCGCCCCCTTTGCAAACCCCGAGTTATTTTCGCTGCTTTTCTGCAAAACCCGAACCCTGGGTCGGTAAGGTCAGCATCACCCCCAGCCTGGTTCCCCATTTTCTGCCTCGTCTCATTTCCGGGCCCTCCCCCAGCCTCCAGGATAAAGGTCTGGGGCTACCCCCAACCCCCACCCCCACAGCCAGGCTGAGTCCCTGTAGCATTATGGATCCATTTCTAGTATAACTTTAAAAAAATGCTTGGTTTGGGGAATATGGCCAAGAATGTTTATGTGCCGCTACTCGTGTCGCATGTCCATGACTCTTGAACGCCAGTATGTTAGGGTGGAGATTTTCGCGGCAGGTAACCTTCTTTCCTTAAGGAGAGGCGAGGGTGAGGGCTAGGGCGAGGGGCGGAGGCCGAAAGGCCTCGCTATGGCCGAGCGCAGGGGGAGGCTCAGGGAGAGTCTGCTCTGCCTCCTCAGCCCCCAGAGGGCAGCAGGAATCTCCACCCCTGATGGTCCTCTGGATATAGACTTCTTCTACGCCATGGGCATGCATTTGGGCTCATTTGAAAGAAGAGAGAAAAAAAGGTCGGTCGGGAGGGCAGGCAGGAGACCTCCATCTGCGTCTGGGCTTTCACCCGGCTCCACGAGGAGCTAGACGGAAAGTTCCAGACCAGCGACGAGGGAGGCCCAGAGATAGCAACGTGTCCCGAGCAAAGTACAGGGCCGGGGCGGCTCCGGAGGGGCGATTATGCCGCTGTTTCCAGGGTGAAGACTTGGATCAGGGATGCCCGTGTCCGTGGTGCTGAAGTGCCTCATTAGCCGTCCTCAGCTGGCTTCCGGGACCTCCACCTGCCCTGTCCTTCTGCTGGACTCCTTTGCCAAAAATCGCCCATTTCCAAGGCAGGTGGACATAGTGGAGCCAACCAGACACTGAAACTCATTGCAGATGGTTTTGATACTGGTTTCCTGAAGATGACATTGATGGCAAGTTTGGCTCCCCTTGGAGGTGCGGATAAAGCATGTGCATAGCAGATTTGATTATCTACATGAAAGTATATACTGAGCATAATAGGCACCCTCACATACGTATGTAGGAGACACGTACGTATGTGTATATGCACATAAGCAGTGCACATCACTTCAAAGTCATCGCGCACCATAGACACACATTTTACAAAACTTTTGCAGTCTATTTTTATTTTTTGGACACCTCTAATGTTTCTGGATTCTGTAGTACTATTAATTTTCACAATCCAGGCCTGGAGCCTGTGGATTGAAGTGTTTTATATTTGGCTGAGCAACTGAGTATACACATTTATATTCCAGGAAAAAAGCTAGTCTAGAGGGGCTGGGGCTCTACCCCAAAGGTAGAGCACCTACTTAGCTTGCTTAGTTAGGCCTTGTGCTGGTCCTCAGCACCATCAAAAACAAAAACAAACAATAGCAACAAAAACCCCCCACCAAACCTACCCTAGAAAGATGTAAAACTGATATTGATATATATATAAAAGATCCCTAAAGGAAGCTTAAGCAAAATGTAAATTTTAATACAATGTTTAGTTAATAACTGACAGTTTCAAATATATGGATGGTATATGGTTTGTGAAGTTGTTGTTTTGTTTTGTTCTGTTGACACAGGGTCTTGCTCTGAGATCCAGGCTTTAAATTGATGGTTCAAAGGATAGACACTTTTTATTTTTTGTGTTGTTCTGTTTTGTTTTGTTTTGGTACCAGGGACTTTGCACTTTCGAGGCAGATGTGGCACCACTGAGCTAAATTCCTAGCCCGACACATTTTATTTTTGATACATTAATTTGTTCACTTATTTGTTCAGTAGTTTCTTTCCTTTCTTCTACTTTATATTATTCTCAGCATCTACAACACTGCCACATATATGGGTATTCAAGAAACATTTATTGGAGGAATACTATTTCTAGATCATACTAAAGAAAATGTATGCCGTGATAATCCCAGCTACACAGGAGCTGAGGCAGAAGGATTGCAAGTTCAAGACCAGCTTGGGCAATTTGGTGAGACACTGTCTCAAAAAACTAAAAATACTGGCATCAGTTTACTACCCACACTGAATTCAGTAAGGGGAAATTTGTTCTCCTAGTTTGCTCTGTGAACTTAAAACTCACTAATGAATTAACAATACTAATCACTGAGGTACCAGAATTTCTTAATACTCCCATTCACTTTTCCCATGAAAAGCTTTAAATATAACTCTAATAAAAAAATAAAGTTCTCAAGGCAAACTTTCAGCATAATTTACAGAAGCAGATTTAAATAGAAGTCAATAACCAATCTAATCCTAAAAAATATACTTAAGTAGGAGTGATGCTGAAGTGGCATTAGGAGTCCCATGTGCGCAGGGACACCCCAGACAAAAAGAGTGAAACTGTCTCTTTATTCACAAATTTTGACATGTTCATATTCGAATTAAGGGGAGAAGAGAGGGGTTCATGTTAATGTTTTCTGTTTGTTTGGAGTGGGTCTGAACTACTCCAGAGATTTCAGAGTGACTTCAGGGCTAGAGTGGCCATTTATAGGAAAATCAGCCCTGAATTTGAGGGAAGGAGGTGAAATCACTCTACAAGTACTACTGCCCCTTTAGCAAGTAGATGAGTCCATTGTGGAGAGAGTCAGGACGCTCCTGTTTCAAGTTTCTCTAAACACGCTGTGCCATGGCCCTTAAAGTGTAAACGCAAAGGGTCTATTATAGATAGAAATCAGAAATCAGGTCTGTTCACCAAATTTCAAAGTGATGTTTACTAAATGTTTTGCCCACATATAAAGAAGCTATAGTGGGTAGATTAGAGATCATTATATTATTAATTTAATGTCTTCATCATTGGCTCTTTTGCATGCTTTAACCTGGCTAATATAAATTTGGTTTTTTCCTCTCTATCCAAAAGCTTTGTTTCTAATAGTATTTTATGACAATGTTGTAAAGTTCAGCTATATCAATAAAAAACAAGTTTAGACAGTAAAAAAATAAATAAAAATAAAAAGAATAAAAAGGACTGTGTAGCTCAGTGGTAAAGCACTTGCCTGGCATGCATGAGTCCCTGAATTTGATCCCTAGTGTCACACTAGTAAGTAAAGAAATAAATACCAGTAAACACCACTATCAACATTAAAGTATCCCCATACTTTTTAAAATTAGATTTTACTAAAGTATTTTCCAGTTGGGCAGACAAAAAAGAATGTCTGTTCATATATTTGTTTGCTATATTTATTTCTTGTTTTATACCTTGCTAACTTTATCTTTTGCTGGGGTGCTTATAATATTTTTTAATTTATGAAAGCTCATTGTACATTTTTTGCATTTTTTTCTTTTTTTCTTTTTAAACTTTGTATATAGTATTTTAAAGTGTATAAAAATTCAAATTTTATATATTAAAACATTTTTTTCCTTTATAGTTTTTGACATTTACATCAGTCTTGCATCCCTTTATAATAATAATAAACCATAGTTATGGTTTTATAAAAATATTATATTTTAGTCTGTAGGATTATTCTCCCATTTTACTTTTTAGTTAAATTCACTTCATCAGTAGATTCAAAATTCTAATGGAGATTGCTGCATAAGAAATAATTATTTAGCCAGGCATGATGGCACACACCTTTAATCCCAAATGCTCAGGAGGCTGAGGCAGGTGCTGAGGCTGAGGAAGATTGCAGGTTTGAGACCAGCTCTCAAAAAGAAAAGTCTCAAAAAAAAAAAAAAAAAAGTCTGAAGATGTAGCTCAATGTAGAGTGCCACTGGCTGGGTTCAATCCCCATTACCATCAAAAAACAAAACGAAACAAAAATCGCATAATTTTTAATTTCCAACCATTATATGCACAACAGTATTTTCTACAAGGAGTAACGTGTCTCTCAGTTTGAACCCTTCAGTTTGATATATTTACTTTTTTGTGTGTGTTACCTGGGATTGAACTTGGGACCTTGCGCTAGTGAGGCAGGTGGCGGAACCACTGAGCTAAATCCTTGGCTAGCCTGTAGTATTTTTAAACTGTTGATATGTCATCCTTTTTTCTTTTTCTTTTTTTTTTTTTAGAGCTATTCTTTGGAATATTTTTTTTATTCCTCAAAGAAAAAGTAGCAAAGCCCACACTTTAACCAAAATGAGAATTTATCTCAGTGAGATTCTGAAAATGGCCCAGCCACCTAGCCATAAGAATGTATACACTTAAGGTGGGTCAAATGTCTTAAGGAAGAAAAAAAAAATCTCAAGCCTAAACATTATTTTTTGGTACCTATTATACATTAAAATAACTTTCTCAAAAACAAAACAAAAGAATGCTTGTTTGGTCTATATTATTTTCTTCTTGGAGTTTAAAAACATTTTAGAATAGCTGAATGGGAATGATTTTGTTTCTGTAACATGTATTTAAAAATACAGCTAATTATAAGAAACAGAAACAACACCAAAGTAAAAAATAAAAGTTTCCTAGTAAGCTAGTCTCAAGTAACCACCACAGATACTATTTTGGAGTAAATACTTTTAGATAATTAGATTTATAAGTAATCATATATTTCATTCAATCGAAGATGTTACCAATTGTAAGAGCGTTTACAGCTTTTGGTTAATAAAAACAATGCCGTTGCAAACATTCTATTAATATATTTCTGTGTAATGGCTTGGGGAAAATAACATTTTACATTTTGGTACATGTTAACTTTCCTCAAAAAATCTGTAACAATTTGCTTTGCAACCAGTAGTGCATGATGTTCTAGATTCTTTGCAGTTTATGGTAGAGATAATCATCCTTTTTCATTTTTCTCACTTAAGAGGCAAAACACATATTTCATTGTTCTCCCCCCATCCCCACCTCAATATTGGGGATTGAACCCAGGACCTTCACACTGAGCTACATTCCCAGCCTTTTTATTTTTTAAATTTTAATACAAGGACAAGATCTTGCTAAATTGTTAAGTTGCCCAGGCTGTGTGTACCACCACATCTGGCTTTCATTTTGTTTTGTTTTGTTTTTCTCCTTTTTTTTCTTTTTTCTTCATTTTCTTTTAATTCTTGTTTCTGTGTCTTTTGCAGAAGTTGTGTCTCTTTCTAGATGTTTACTGGTAGCTTGTATTTTTTCTTTTGTGAATTACTCATGGTAACCATATTGTTTATATCTAGTCACTAATTCTGTTTCTGAACAAGATCTAATAGGTTTTATCTATTTGTGTTGGGAAACCTGTCAATGAGCTTGTCAGGAATGAGCAGTACAGTATCATGCCTGGGGCCCAAGCTGAAGAGGGGCCAGCAGTCACACTGATTTTTGTCTAATTAATGTAGCTGATACTTCTTTTTTAGCTATTTGAAATGAGAATGAATTCAGTCACATGAGAAAATAATATCTTGGGAGTGTCTTAGTTCATTCAGGCAGCTATAACAAAATGGGTGGTTTATAAAAAACAGAGATTTATTTCTCAGCTTCTAGAGGCTGAGAAGTCCAAGATTAAAGCCCCAAAGCTGGGCCTGGTGTCACAGGCTTGTTATCCTAGCATTGTAGGAGGCTGAAGCAGGAAGATCGCAAGTTTGTGCCCAACCTGGGCAATTTTTTAAGATCCTCAAAATAAAAAATTAAAAATGGACTGGAGGTGTAGCTTAGTAATAAGGCCCAGAGTTCAGTCCCCAGTACTGGGGGGACAAAAAGGTGCCAACAAATGAGGTGAGCTCCTTTCCTGGTTCATAGGTGGTGGTATTTTTGCTGTGTCCTGATGTGGCAGAAGAGGTGAGGGCTCAGCCCTCAAAACCAAATCACTTCCAAAAGCCTACCTCCAAATACTCTCACATTGGGGATTAGTTTTCAACATATGAATTTGACGAGGGGGCAATGATACAAACTGCCTGGGAGAGACAGGAAGATTAATAGATTACCAAATTGTAAATTATTTATTTGTTTGTTTTATTATTTTGTGGTTCTGGAAACTGGATCCAGAGGACCTCAAGCATGCTAGGTAATTGTTCAATCACTGAGCTGTATCCTCAGCCCAAAAATCATAAATTTAAAAATTTCTTTATATAATTCTGAGTTTTTCCAAAGAAATAGACTTGAGGAAGTCATGAGAATATGTGTAGGTGTAATTATATTCAATAATCAAATATAATTTCAGTTGGAGCTTATAAAGTTAAACTTTCACAGTACAGTATTTTAGTTCAAATGGATGGCTGAAATCCTCAATATCTTTTATCTTGACTAGCATTGCTATCCACAGTTTAGATCTTCTCACTGATCTCTATAATTGTTGGCATATCTAGCAATTTAATCATTTGTAGTTATCACAATAAAGATGAAATACTTCCCCAGTTATTAAATTCTAGAGGAGCCTTTGATTCCTGGTGACCTGAATAGAAATACAGTTTTCCAATCTGGTACTGGAATTTGTTGGTTAGAGAAGAGGTGATGGGAATAATCATATTCTAACTAGGTCCTCTTTTATTTTTTTCCTGAATACTTTAAAAAAGTTTTGGAGCTGGATTTGGTGACAGACACCTGTATTCCCAGCACTAAGGGGGCTAAGCCAGGAGAATTGCAAATTTGAGACCAGCCTGGGCAACTTAGCCAGACCTTGTCTCCACCAAACCAAACCAAAAAGCCAAACAAAACAAAACAGAAAAACAAAAGAAAAGAAAAATGTTGTCATTGATGAATCTTGTTTCATTTTCTTGCCTGAGAATACCTTGTGCCATGGGTGGTATTCTTTTTTTTTTTCCATTAAGTTTATTGGTACATTTTAGGTATACAGTACAGTTACATTCATCATTGGGATCTTGTACCTTTACATGATGTATCTTAGTTCTTAATTTTTCCCCGTTCCCCTGCCCTCCCTTCACCCCCTCCATTGTGGGTGGTATTCTTAAACACATAATGACCATTTCAGGATGTCTGGGGCCACTGTTCTACCTTCTTTTTTACCTAACATTCCTCCTGAATATATAGATTATAAAATCAGGCCAAGTCTCCTTTCCCATCACCACACATAAATTTTTTCTGCTGTATATCTCTTAACAGATTCTCCAAGTAGCCACAGTGTTACATTAACACCACTGTCTGTTGTCTGGGATATGAGAAAGAGAATGACAATCACTCCAGTGCCTCCCTTTTTTGCAGTTTTTATCCATTTACTTTCTGATTTGGACCTAGAAAGTACCTTCTACTTAGTAGGGAAATGTCAGAGGTGGGATGAGATTACAGAGCTTTCTTCTTTCTCTTCACCAAAACTTTATTTTGCACGATAACTGTTAATATACATGAATAATTTAAGCATTTGGTACTTATATAACATTATATATGTTAAATTGGCTCTAGGTTCATTATACTCATCACATATAGTAGAATTATATGTGATAATGGACACATGCAATATAATACTTCATGTGCACTTAACACTATTTCTTAGTTATGACTAGATATGAACTCAATACACATGCCTGCCATCTTTACTAAAGTGTGTTTGATTAATTTTTGACTCTGTAATATCACTTGCTTTGTATCTCTCTTTATTTTAATTTAGGACCCCAAAGTGTCAGTGACTTTACTGGACTCTTTAAGAACTTGGTAAAGGAACAAAGAAATATTAGGTGATCTAATTTTCCTTGTTTTATTTATTTATTTATTTATTTTGAATTTTCCTTTTTTTAAAAAGCCCTGGTTTCAGTGTAACTCTGGCAGTCACTGTTCTAAATCAGGGTGAAGATGACAAAGATGAATGAGGCTGTTGATACTGGTGGACAACAGCTAAATTTTCATATTGTCTTGGATTTCCATAATTTAGAGTTGCAAAATTGTGGCACCTTAACTCTGCATCACAATTAATTAGATCCAGAAGTAGAGGTGTCTACTTAGGGGAGGGACTTTCTTCAGAGCAGATCAGCTGTCTTACTTTTCTTGTTGCTGAGACAAAAAACCTAACATCCAAAGTTAAAGGAGGAAAGGTTTATTTCAGCTCACAGTTTGTATAGGTTTCAGTCCATAGTCAGCTGGTTCCAATGCAGGGGACCATGGCAGAGGAGCATCACAAAGGAGAAACACTCCATGGCAAGTCAGGCAGGAAGCAGCAAGCAGCAAGCCTGCCTTCTCTCTCTTCCTTTATATTCCACTCAGGCTATAAGCCACCCACACCCAAGGTGGGACTTCCATTATCCACACCTAGAACTATGCTAAACCCATTTAGTTATCACACACCCTTAATCCCAGTATCACACACCCTAGAGCTAACCAGCTCCAAAAAGCCCTACCTGTGAGTGCATGAAGCTTTGGGGAGATATCTAGATACAAGCCAGAGGGCTGGTTTTGTTCTGCCCACATTGTTAAGTCCTGTGCTGAGCCAGGACCTGGAATTAAATTACTAAGAGATAGACATAGTCCCTATTCCTGGAGTGGTAACAGTTTATCATGGCTACTATTCCATTCACAACTCATAGCAAGATCATGTCAAGGACGGTAACAGAGCCCAGAAGAAAGTGTTCTAGAATCCAAAGGAAGAATCAAGTGAGAGGCATCTCCACGTGGGTCACCAGGGAGGAGTGAGAGTTTGGCAGAGATTGCTCTTCGGGATCAGTGATCTCCAACTGTAAGTGAATGACCTTGTAACTTTTTCGAATGGTGAGAATGTGGCTCCCATTATCCTCCATATATTTCTTTTCTCATTCGTTCTCTCTCTCTCTTTTAGACAGGGTCTCGCTATGGAGTTCAGGCTGGCTTTGAACTTACTGTGTAGCTCAGGCTGGCCTCAAACTCATGGCGATCCTCCTGCCTCAGCCTCCCAAGTGTACCTTATAGGCGTGCACCACCACACTTGGCCTGCTCATTCTTTCTTTATGTAACCAATCTCTTCACCTCATAAGCCATGTCCTTGGCCCAGTTCCTCCTTAGATGTAGCCCTGCTGGCCCCTCCAATTTCCTGACAGCCTTAGCCAGTTGGAAAGTTTTAGAGCAGGAATTCAGTCTCAAAGCTGTTAATTACTTGATAGAAGATGCATATGAAAAAGAGGCTCTTAGGCTAGTGAGATAAAGATTTAACCAGCAGCCCCAAGGGTTATGCCTTCCACAAAACATGAGGATCAGAGTTGGAGAGAGCCAAATGCTGTTACCTACAGGAACCACAATGAGAGAATTCTCCAGAATTGGTAAGGGTCAGGGACCACCCAACCAGTCATAACCCCCTTGCTTCACGGCTTCTGACCTGTTCCCCAAATATCCCACTATGTTTTGTTATTCTGTCAAGGGGACATTGCTTTAAGACAAAAACATCTTTGTGCTCTATTTTTAAAGAAGGAAATACTGCTTTTATTACCAGCTTCTGAAAGTGAAATTCTAGGAGATGGATGATGGTGTCTACTGTTTTAGTGTTGACTTCATTTCCTGGTCCAGAAGACCAGAAATCTGTGTGTTTAAGAGAACAGCACGAGAACCATCTGTTCAGGTCAGATTTTTCTACATTAACATGAAGATTTATGGAGTGGTAACTTATGTAAGAAAAACCAATGGTAATTATGTTATACTTTTTGCTGCCACTTGGAATCTACATTATATTTTTGGTTAATTATGAAAAGACAGTAATATATACATATATATGTATATATATTTATGCACATATTGAATTTTCACACACTGTAGTAAAGGCATCCTCAGTTTGTGAAGTCTTTCACCTCTGTTTTGGTTTGAGCACCATCTACTCTGGGTTTCTATGTAACATGGTCTGTTTATCCACAGTTTTCTTCCCACAGAAGGCATGGAAATATAAGTACAGTTGGCTTCCTGGGGACTCTTCTAGGCTGACTAAAAAACAAAGTAATGATTCACTTTGAACACAGTTTTAAATTTTAAAGTAAATACATAATTCTATATAAAATAAAGTAAAAAGAAAATAATAATTAATGAATAATTAAAATTCTACCATTCACAAGTGCATATATATATACAAATTATTTATATTAACAGAATCACACCATGAATATTCTTTTATACCTTTCTTTTTCCTCAGCAATGTGACATGAAATTTTTCTTATATATATTCACATACATTATCCTTTTGGGTGTCTTTGTAATATTAATGGATGTTTTTACTTGACCCTTCCCCCACTAATGGGCAATTAGATTAGTTCCTAGTTTTCATTGTATAAGGGCAGCCATGTAGTTCAATGGCAAGCTCAAGGTCCTGAGTTTGAAAATATTTTCTCATGTTCATTTTATGTAATTTACTGATTATCTTCTTAGGGTCTATTCCTGGAAATGGAATGGCTAGTCAGAGAGCTCACACGTTTTAAATTTTGGTACATGCTACTTTTGATGGGATGGATTACAATATGCTTGTTCTTTGTATACAATATCCTTGTCAACGACAGAACTTGGTAAAGTTTCTCTTGAACTTTGCAGTAGCATTTTGTGTGTGTGTGTGTGTGTGTGTGTGTGTCTGTGTCTGTGTGTTCTCCTACAGACATTAAAGGAGTAAAGTGATTTTTAATGAAATTAAGTATCCTACATTACTAACCATGTATTATCAAGCTGGTTCAAAATTTGACTTATGGTTTAGTCTGAAATAAGCGGGCATCTAATTATCGTTTCTTAAAGGCCTTAAGTGTTTTGATAAAATAGTATATGGGAAGAGGTGACTAAATTGTAATTTTAGCAAGCGATATCTGTAAGGTGAAGGATCGTTTATGATTAAATAAAACTAAATTTATAAAAATTTGAAGGACCAGGGATTTAGCTCAGTGGTTCCGGCGCCTGCATCACAAGCGCAAGGTCCCGAGTTTGATCCCTGGTACCAAAAAAACAAAAAGCAATTTATAAAGTTTCGCCACCTGCTGCGCAAATGCAAGGACCTGAGTTCGATCCCTGGTACCCCCCCCCCCCCAAATTTGAATTAACTCATTTGCCATTTCCCTAAGTCTTGACCCCCTGGGGAACTTCAGGCTTGAAGTGTATGTAGTATTTGAAGGATTTGAGAGTAGACTGTTGATCCTGGGGTGTTTCTTTTTTGTGTATCCTGGAGGTTGGAAGGCATCTTTGAACTCAGCTGGCCTTGATCCTCTCTCATAAGAGTTAAAGGATAAACAACCAAGAAGTGCAACTCTTAACAAGCATATTGGCATAGCCTAGTAATTTGTTTTACACTTAATTAGCATCTAACCTAGTTGGTAATTTAACCATTTAGATACATCAAAAAAAATCATGAAAATAGAAAAAGATCATTTTATTCCTGCCCTTTCCTTCTCCCTTAACAGATTCACCCAGCACAGCTGAATTTGAAGTGCTGATTCACTGCAAACTGATCTGTTTAAAAATTTTTTGAGACACTAGGAAAGTCTGTGGTGGATAAAAAATGTGTTCATTGATGGTGACATATTTTATGCAAATTGATAAATCCACTACTTGAGAGATTAGAAAGGCTCATTTCTGGAAAGGGAAGTGTAACTTACAAATGGTGAAGGACTTGCATTCCAGCAAGTTCTTAACTGCCAGCCAACACAGTCATTAGTGTGCCAGAATGGATTTTAAAGCATCACAACATAAATTGCTGTGTTCCAAATCAAACATCATCGCCTTGATACAAGCCAAATCAACCTACTTGTTTGAAAACTGCCACATACGGCCTTTTTAACCTTTTCCTTTCCTGGTATGGGTGGTCCATTATAGTCTACAAAAGTCACTAACCACCACTGAGTAGCAAGGAGTCAGCCTTCTCAACTAACAGGTCCAGTTGCTTTGAAGGTGATAACAAGCTAAATGTTTGGCCCAGTTCTAACCAGACTGATAGCTCCTATCCCTATCTTTCCTTTTTGATACCTTTTGCTCGTTATCTCTTTTCTTCTTCTGAGCCTTTTTCTCTTCCAGAGCTAACTGCTGCAGATGTCACGCAGTGCCCACACACTGACAGAAAGCTTCTGGAAATCCCTCGCCCAACTTTCTGCCCTAGAGCTGTCAGCTGAGTCTCCAGCATGAATTTGGGACAGCCTTTCTGTTTGGGGTACCTAACGCCCTCTTCTCACCTAGTTCCATCAGATCTCTTCCCTAACTTCTCAGCTCCAAGGTCCTTAGCTATGTTTTTTTTTAAACCTCTCCTACAACCCAACTGACCCAACCCAGGAGAATCCTCAGGCCTCTTCCCTTCTTCCGCAGCTCAGTTCTGCCCAACTCTTCTTAGCCCCTTAGACCACATACTATTTAGTTATTCCCAGTATGGTGCCTTCTAGAATCCATTATCACCTTTCCTAGTTCAACTAATAAGCTGTCATCCCCACCTCAGCCTATGACATCCCCAACTTCAACCTAGCTCAGCCCCTTGAAGCAACCTTGACCCACACCCTCTTGGGAACCTTCTGCTTTTCAGGCCAACATGAGGATCCTTTTTCACCCAGGTAGCTCCGTTTAAGCTGATTTTATTTAATGTGCTGGGAGGTTATCATTTAGCCTGGTGTGCCCTGAACTGTCATCCAGTTCTGACACTGTTGTGCATCAGTTAAAGCACTGTAAGAAGTAATCTTCATAGAAGATGGTGCCAATGACCTTTCATCATAAAGTGATGATGATGAATTTGTATTAATCTATATTCTTCTCCCAGTTTTTTTTTTTTTCCTGGTACCAGGGATTGAACTCAGGACCTTGCGCTTGCAAGGCAATTGTGGCACCACTGAGCTAAATCCCTGTCCCTTCTCCTAGTTCTTTTATGCAAGAAGATGTATTTACAAGGTGATTGGCAAAGTGAGGAGGTGCATTCAGTGGCTATGGTAACAAAGTTAGCAATTGCTTCAGCAATATAAAATGGCATCCTATCTAAAAGCTGAGCTACAAGGTGAGAGAATCAAAGCGAGATTCCAAAATGCAACAAGCTTGTCATACTTACTCAACGTAAATTTTTTCTCTCAAGAACAAGAAGCTCATTTTAAAAGAACTTTATATCCTTTTTTTTTGTACTAGGGATCAAATTTTTATGTTAGGTAAGCACTCTACCACATTGTTGCTTCCTATCACACCTCCACCACCACTTTTTTTTTTTTAAAGAGGCAGGGTCTTAACTATATTGCTCAGGCTGGCCTCCAACTCCTGGGCTCAGGTGATCTTCCTGTTTCTGCCACCTGAATATTTAGGATTACAAGCTCGGGGTACCATGCCTGGCTCAGTATGCTGCCCAGTTTTTGAGCCAGTTATCAGCTTACTGCTAGTCAATATGGATATAAAGGTCAGGATTCATCCTTAAGAATCCCCCAAACAACACTTTTAGCATAATTACCTAAGAGAAACTATTAGGTAGTCATGTCCACAAATTATGTGGAGAAAACCCCAGTTTAAAGTCCAGTGTAAAATTGTGTCTTTTGGGGCCTGGGATTTAGCTCAGTGGTTCTGCCCCCTGGCTCAAAAGCGAAAGGTCCTGAATTCGATCCCTGGTTCAAAAAAAACCATTTGTGTCTTTTTTGGGCTGAGAGTATAGCTCAGTGGTAGAGCACTCTAGTGCATGCCTGAGGCCCTGGGTTTGACCACCTCCAGCCCTGAAAAAATAAAAATCATATGTAAGAAGAAGCCAAACAAGGGTTTTGATAGGACAGTTTATATTGAGTGAAACCAGCTGAGTGTTTGATAGGAGCACTGTTTCAGAGCCTTATTTACATGAGAGAGAGATAATTTGAGAATTTTGGATATGAAAGACTACTTTTGCTTATCCTCAGAGCTGATGTGATTCTTTTGGCCAGCCTGCTCTGCTCTGTTTGCTGAGAACACTTCTTTGCCTTAAATAAATGTACACTTTTGCTGCCAAAAAAAACCTACTTTATCTTCTACATCTTATATTTTTCAGAGTAAGAATCACTTTTGGATAACGTGAATAAAAATGCTAAGTAATTATGTAATTACTTTTAATACAGGATGCAGGATGTAAAAATGTCATAATATTTCTGGTAAATACAGTATTCAGATGACAACTGAAGTATTTTGAAATAAAGACATTTTCCATATTTTATAAAGCTACTTCTAATATGTTAGCATTTATTTATTTTTCATTAAGTTTATTGGTACATTTTAGGTATACAATTTGATGACATTCATCATTGGGAATTTGTACCTTTACATGGTATATCTTGGTTTGTATTTTTTTCCCTATTCCCCTGCCCTCCCTTCAACCCTTCCACCTCTCCCTATTTACAAAGACTTTGTACCTACTTTTTTCTTTTTCTCATATTTTTTCCTTTCCCCTACTCCTCCTACTTCCTCCTCCCCTTTAGACCTTTTCTTTCTATTTCACATTATTTATTATACATTTTGATGCTTATTTACACTTTCAGTTTCTCACATCAGAGAAACTGTTCGGTATTTACATTTATGTGTGCTATTTATTTCACTTAAGTGAATGGCCTCAATGTTCATCCATTTAGCTATAAATGTCTCTAGTTTCTCATTCTTTATGGGTGACTAGTACTCCATTTTATC